TTGGCGTACCACTCTTCGCCTGCCTTTCACAGACCGCAAAGTCGGGGCCGTCGCGGAATCTTGAAACATTTTTTTTTTCTAGTAGTTAAAACGCCGTTTCCATAAAAAAAAAGTTCCGTTTCGTGCGATTCATTTCTGTGCACATCACATATATAAAGAAAAAATGAAAATGTTGAGTGGACTTGCTGTTTCGAGCTCTCGTGGAATCACCCAGTAAGCTAAAATGGCGGCCCCATGACCCTAACGTATCATAGAAATTAAGCCATTTACGGTTGATAAATGTGAACTGGAGGACGTTTTAGACCGCGAGAAAACACGCCAACACGACTCGAAAGCCGCTACGAAATCTCGCCAACAGCAAAACGACAAGTTCTCCCCGCTAAGCTGGCAACACTGCACCATGGATGGTAGACTAGGTGGCGCAAGCTACCGACCATTATAAAAAGTACAACCATTACCCTTCACTCAGCCATCCATCGATGCCTTGACGCCACGTCGGCGGCCATTGTGATAGCCTTGCTTGCTTGGCAATTAATACCACCTATGCTTGACCTCACATCAGAAAAAAAAGTTGTTTTTTTAGCATTGTTTACGCGCTGCACGAAGTGGTGATTTGGTTGTCGAAGAAATATACGGTGACTTTGGCGTTTCAGGCGTGTACGTTTTGATAAAATTAACAGAAAGCTAATCTATAGATGTACTTGCATATATCTTAATTAAACACGTAAAAGGGGAAATTTGTACCATTTCGCGAGAAGCCAAACTTTTTTTTACTACGTTTCTTGATGCGATTAGGAGTACAGAATGATGAAAGCCTCTGCACTAGGACTTCGACGTCATCACAGCGAGATGGAGCGAAGGCACAGATTGGAGACGAGTGCCGCGTCAGCTTTCGGCTGAGCTTCGTGACCAATGAACGCGTCGAAAGACGCTCGCCATCGGGCTCGGGTCCAATTGCTAAATAAAGTTGGCGCCATCCGACATGCGATGACGTTTTATGGAAGAAAAAGTCGATGTTTTCAGGCCGTGGTTCTTGTGTTGTTTAGTACCATTGAATTAAATTTTCTCGGCAAGAGCAAGTTTAAATAAACCCTTAAAGGGATACTGAATCGAAACTTAAGATATACAGGAAACACCTAGAGATAAGTCAAATGGAATCAGATAAACCTGTAATTGATAATCACATGGTCATATTTCAAGCGGATGGCTGTATTTTTCGTTCTAAATGCCTGGATTTCGGCGAGCGCTTCAAAATCAGCCGTCGAAGAGCGCGATGCATGTTGGGAGATCCGGCGCGGTCTTGACGTCATCATGTCTCGGAGGGCCAAGCGTACCGTAGTTATGAGTCTTGCCACTTGGTGGCGTCAGCGTGTTACAATCTCGCATAGTCGAAGTACCCGAGGGCTGTAGTAGCATATTGCGGAGCCGGCGGCGCGGCTTCAAGGGAATGGTCGCCTACCAACGCGACGAGAGCGGTGGGTAGATGACATTAATAAGGACGAAGATGCCGCCACGCCGCTACATCACCAGGCCATGATGGCCGAGAAGCGATTCTGCCTAGAGTCGTATTGGTACGACCCATCTGTCTTGTCTTCATCGTCCGCAACAGGTAACAGAGCTTATTCACAAAACGATCTTACAGCAAAACCTAAGAAAAGTACCGTATTCACGAAGCGAAATTATCGCAAGTTTTTTCGCACGCTACGATGAGATCCTACGACCACGCCTACGACAGCTACAAAGCTTTACGCACTTTTTGTGATCAAATTTACATCGCCAGCCACATCGCACGCTTACGTCGTCGCGACGACCAACATGCATTTCCATGTGCTCTCTGTGCGCGTCCCAACGAGAGAAAAGAAGAAAAAAAAGTAATTGAAACTGAATGCCGCGGCGGAGACAAACGCAAGAACCACGGATACCTGAAAAAGCAACGACAAGGACCCACCGACCAAGCGACCACCGAAGACGCTAGGCTTAGCAAAACACTTCGACGATCCGGGGCAAGACCATCTGCACACGACCGGCTGGCTTGATGAATGGAATAGGCCCACGCGACCTTTGTGGACCCTCCTCGTATGAATAGTTTGATCTTTGACCTCTAATTTGGGGTAAGAAGGTCAGTCTTTCCCCCCGTCGTCCCTAGCTTGTTTTCAGATGCAGCGGTGACCAACGTTTGGTCGAAAAAGGAGACACTCCTATAAATTCTATCTCCTTTTTTGTGTGTGTGTTATAGAGCTCAAATAAACGCCATATGAATTGCCTTCGCAACATGGGTACGTACACTTTTGTTTAGATGTCCATTTTATTTCGACATGATACGCCAACACATGTCGAGTTAGAGCAGTTCTTGGGAGCGACTCAATGCCGGTCCAATCTTTCTCTGCCGAGCGTCTCGTCAGCATCGAGTTGCGATTGTCTAGAGGCTCAGCGGTTCATAAAATCGGTTGTAAAAGACCGTTCCCGAAGCAGCTACCAAGGACGCTGACACTCTTTTACTCCAAACGTATCTTCCTGGACGTTGGCTCTCTCCCGCATCCCCGAAGATCGCCGCAGGGATTTGTTTACATGCGCGCCGCTTTGCAGAGCCGTACGGGCCGTCTCCTTTTAGCAACGCTGGTAGTTGTGTTGACTTCTTAGCAATCGAGTTCGTTATCAGTTGAGGTCGACGAAGGCAGCTATCTCGTAATCAGGAAAGGTGGGCATGCGGGCCAGTTTTAAACAGGCATTTCGTAGCGTGAATATTACATCGCACGTACACAATCTCCAAACCAGCCCAAAGAAGTGTTGCCGGAAAGACCACCCGATACTAAAACGAACGGTGGCCAACTCTGCTGTTGCTTTCTTCACCAAAGTGCCTCGGTACTACGTTCAGGCCTAAGTAATGCCTAGGAGTGACCGTACTTCCCGTTGTGGCGCTGCTCTTACGGGCATGTTGTCGTCACGACATTCCATCGAAGCTTCACAGACATCCACGTGGTGGTTTTTGGTTATTGTTTTATTCAGTTTAAAATTCGTTTTCTCGCGTTATCCTACGGAATATTGGTATTGGTGAAGTCCTATTTTAACCCTCTTTATGTTCAAGCAAAGAGACGGGCTCTAGAATTTGGTTTCCGTACCCCTTTAAAAAATCACCAACCGACGTTGGCGGTCGCCTTTATTTGAGAGTCCTGGCCGATTGCTCACTCAGTAATCGTTTTAGAAACGAGGTGAGCCGTGCTCACTCTGACCGCTAAAGAGGACGTGCCCAAACAATGGTGCACTCGGATAATTGAAGTAGCATAAACTAGATGGCGCGCCCTTTTTTGAAAAGGGTTTATACGGGGGATTCACTGTACCCCATATTTTATTTATTTATTTATTTATAAATACTGTTAACCCTTGCCAGGGTCATTACAGAGAGGGAAAAACAACAAAACACATTACCTAACATCTTTCACAACAATAGTACACGTCAAGTAGGCTCTCAAATTCACGAACATTTTCCCTGTTAACAATATAACTAGGCAATGTATTCCAGGATTCAATCACATCAGGAAAAAATGAGTATCGAAAAACATCAACACGGGCATTGAACGGCTCAATGGCTAGGTTGTGATTTAATCGGTCACTTCGTTTACATGGTAGTTTTACATAGCTGTCCTTATTAATCTTAATTTGTCCATGGATGAGTTGAAAAAAGAATATCAGTCGATGTTTTTGTCTCCTTGTCTCCAGTAGCTCTAAGTCGCATGAGTCTAACATTGATGTAACCGAATCTGTCCATTTATATTTAGCACAAACAAAGCGGACAGCTAATCTTTGAATTCTCTCTAATTTGGACTTCAAGACTTTCTGATGTGGACTCCAGACAGCCGATGCATATTCTAGAACTGACCTCACGAATGTTTTGTAGGCAATTAACTTAACGTTCTTTGTTGCGTTGTGCAATTTTTTCCTTAAGAAGTACAATTTCTTTGAAGCCTTAGAGCACACGTTTTCCACATGTTTTCGCCAGTTTAGATCATGGGTTATGGTCACTCCTAAATATTTAAAACTATTTACATTGTTCAAGAAGTTATTTCCAATGTTATACCTAAAACAAAGTGCACTCTTTTTTTTAGTTATATGAGTAAATGTGGATTTAGTATAGATAATTCCCTTGTCCTACTTTTCACACCACATGTTCAAAGCCTGAAGGCTACGATTGATTTTAATTTGCTCATTCACATTTGTGACTACCGAATAAAGTAAACAATCGTCGGCAAAAAGCTTCATTTCTACGTCTGGCTGTACAATGCTAGCAATATCGTTGATGTACAACAAAAATAATAAGGGTCCCAACACAGATCCTTGTGGGACACCAGAAAACACCTCCAACGAACAAGACATACAATCGTCAACACGCACCACCTGCCTGCGATTGATCAAATAAGCCTCAATCCATTCTAATATTGTAGAGCTAATACCGATTTGTCCAAGTTTGAAGAGTAGTTTATTATGAGAAACCTTATCAAAAGCTTTTGCGAAGTCTATACAAATAACATCTATCTGCCTCTGGTCGTTTATTGCTAACGAAAAATCGTGAATAGTTTCGATTAGCTGCGTAACAGTGGAAAGATTGCTTCGAAACCCGTGTTGATGCGGGTATTTGTGTTGTTTAGGGCGCAGGCTCGGAACGGGCTCACATTAACAGGCTGCTAAGACCGGCAATCCTGATAGTGTGAAATTCACGATTCTAAAGAACTGTTGAAGCTCGCCGTTAGCACGCGCTCTTCGCGCACATAGCTATGGCCGCCAGTGCATACCACTACTGGGCCCAGCAAGATGCGATGACGTTCACCTGAAGGTTATGTGTACACCAACTCGCTGTCTACAAACAATCTCGCCCTTGCCCACACCAGATGTTGGCAGTGTGGGATGTGGGCAGATGTGGGCAAACCTGCTGGGCGTCGCCCAGCAAGTTTGAGGCCGGCTTCATAACCTGATGGCCCTCCCTGGCCTGGGCTTCTGTCTCGCAGGTCGGCGTGGACAAGTTTGAGCCCAACAGCGCGGTACCGGCGGTCACTGACCTCACAAGCGGACACCCCGGTCGCACCACGTACAGACGGGTGTGCGCCCAGTACCCGGATGTCGAGGCACCCGTGGGCGTCGAGTGTCGCCTGGGGACCTTCGTCGAGCACGGCAAAGAGTACCAGGTGGCCTTCGCCGGACCGCGGGAACTGAAGGCGCGCATGCGCAACAGCTACGCCGACGGCATGGGCTCTGTGCCCGTCGTCGTGTACGGCCTCGACCTCGACGACTTCTTGGGCAGGTGCTCCGGTGGCGTTATGTCGCCCCTGGTACGCGCCGTCGCCACGGGAGGGCCCTGAGCAAGAGCACCTCGTCCTCTGAACTCCGTCTACCCGTAAAGGCTGTTTCACACATTTATGCTCGACTGTTCCGAGTGTACCGTGCGTGTCGTGATTTCAGTCAGTCAGTCAATCAGTGAACCTTTTATTAGTGAATAGAATCAGGGTTCCTGGCTGGCAAATCGCTGGCAAACTGGCGCCATCTTTCGGGCCGGTAGCCCTCGCCATATTTGCGAGGGCAAATTTCCGCACAATTTATGAGGAATAGCCGCTCATAACATGGCCAGAGTTATTTCAAGTCTTGAGGCTGGTTAACGCAGCACCGTTTTCTTGCGCTACGAAGCTGAGACACGACCGCAAGTCAAATCAAGTTTATTTCCAGAAACTCTGGTGGGAAAGCCCATACAAAAAGCTGTTAAAAAACAGCTTGATTAGGTATGGGCGCGCTCCAGCCCAACAGCGCGGTGCCGGCAGTCACTGACCTCTCGAGCGTACACCCCGGTCACACCGCCGGCACATCCGGTCGTATCTCGACGCAAGGGTACGCAGCGCAAGAAAATGGTGCTGAGTGAACCAGCCTTTAGCCCTAAGCATACATACATACATACATACATACATACACACGCACACACGCACGCACGCACGCACGCAGGCTAGAGATGTTCCATAACTACCCGATAGGTGACGCCAGTGCGTCAGCGGTTGCCAGAGGTCATAACACACTGGATACGTCGAACGCCAATGTGTAAACCATCCTTGGGCGCGGTAGGTCGCGCTCGCCGGTCCAGTCCACCGCCTCCCTTTCACTACCTGACCCCTCTCTCCTTGCGCGTGTGCATAGGCGGGAGCATGATGACGGGGATGAAGTCTAGCGGATAGGCGCATGACTGGTCCAACGAGGGCGTATAGCTTCCACGGCATTGTCAACCTCGTGGTGAACGGAGCACAGAACACCTCGCCGATTTTTGTCTGCTACTGAAGCGAGGAGGGGCACAAGCGCAAGAACATCTGGACCTTAGGAGAAACACTTCCAGAAGCGATTCATGTTTGCAGCTTTCACTGCCCTCGTATACTTCAGCTTCGTGGGAGTTCTAACCCATGGTCGACCAGGCGACGACAAGATTTGCGAGTGAAGACAGTCTGGAAGGCGCCTGGGGTGCGTGGGACGGGAGTACTCTACCACAGCTACTCGATCTGAAACGCAGAAGTGCGGCCCGCCTGATGCGCCGCGAACGGCGAGACCATGGCCTCCGAGATCCCGAAGCGCTTCGGGATCTCGGGCGCCATGGGTGAGACGCGCCTTGTACTTCGGGCGACCACCGCGGCGCTACCGGTCACTGACAGGGACGGTCCATCACCGGCGTGAATTGGTTTGTCCCATGGTAAACCCCCGAATTGTGAGGAGCGAACACGACTACTGCCAACGCGGGCAGTAGTGTAAGCTTATCAATCTCGCCTTCGCCTGTGGATACGATGGCGCGACGTGGCGGGCCGTACCTCGTTTTTGGTCGAGCTGCCGTGGAACTACGAGGCGCCCAAATTGACAAGAGTCAACTGTAGGAACGTATATATAGATATATATATAGATATTTTTTTTTTTGTTTCGAACTTTTATTATGCTTTATTTGAATGCAACCTTCATCCTATGAGTCTCATTCTTTCATCTGCAAATATTCTATTGTTAGTTGCATGGCTACATCCTTGCTTTTCTGCATCTTCTGGATAATGGTTTTCTAGAATTGTACTTTGCATCTTCTGATGAATCGGCAGGCCGCAGAGGAGGAGTGGGCTACAGGCCGTGGTGGAACAATAACACGGGATGCGTTACTTTTAGGCATCGTAAAAATAAAGGTAACGAACTTCGTTTCTTGTTGTTGTCTTTTTTCCCCGAAGAGTGCGAGGAGTGTACACTTAAATGTGCGTTCACACGGGGATGCTTTCGGGGAGGGATGTGCGTGACGTCAGTGATCGACGTGACCGACGGGACTCCTTCCCCTACTTCAGCATTCACACGAATGGCGGGAGCCGAGGGCGATGAGGATGTGAGGTGTACTGGGGAGGTGTGATGATCGGGCTTGCGAAAGTGGCTCAGTGAATCAGCATGTGAAGCGGACAGTCATCGGCAAGTATGAAGCCCCTTGGTGTTTTAAAAGTAGCGCAAGGCGCGTCGATGCAAGAGGCACGTACAACATGCAGCCCGTTGGGAAGATCCTGGCGGCACAGCGCAGCACTGCGCTAGATTTCAGACGCCGTGTTCTTCCCAGAAGTGGCGCGCGGCACGTGTCTCCAGCATTTTCACCAGAGGCTAGAGTGCCTACATGTTTTTCTGTCTGAGGGTGAAGACATCCATTGTTGCCCTGAATGTGCCAGCGCCTGACGCTTTCGCGCACTCGGTGCGTGACTCGGGCGGTAAAATGGCGTCCACACTTTTAGCCAAAGCTACGCGCTCGAGCTGAGTGACATCGGAATGCGCGCACTTCGAAACGCATAAAAAACGATTGGGCAGAAAAATGGCTGAGATGTCTCAAGTCTTACTCAAGCAAAAGAGCGTCTGTGTATGAACTATTATCGATAAGTGGCAAGCAGCGCCACCCGGCACTGCAGGGAATAAGAGGTGAAAGAAGAACTGCATCGAGGGGCTTTTTCACAAGCCCACTTAAGCCTCGCTGCAGTCTGTGTTCATTGCATCGAGCTCAATGCTCCGCGACCAATTTCGTTATGGCTAACAAGCAGCGACAAAAACACTGTTGAGTCCTGCAGGCTGCAACACTGGGTGCGTGTCGTCAAGGTCAGAAGGCAAAAAGGAGACGTTGTTTGCTGTTCCGAAAGAACTCTAAAGATGCCGAACATCGGAGCGGGCTATTTTTTACACCGACAAATGCTTACGAAAAAGGTCAGCAGTAAGCGAGCTGCATTTCCAGGAAAGACTCATGGTGCGACACCTCACGATTCTGATAAGCGGTGAAGACATTTTCTTTTGCTTTAGTGTTCACAGTGCGGCGGAGTGCCGTTGTGGCGCTGCTGATGGCATGTCGATGCTAACGCTGCGTGCTGATCATCCTTGCCATTTTCTCCAGCTGGACGAAGCGAGCGACTCTTACACCTGCCCTTCTGTCAAACACCTCTAGCAGTTTCACTCTCGACAACAGGGTTCGCTGCTCGCAGACGGGAGTATATAAATGAAGCCGGACATGTGACGGCAATGTGCAGTTATGGCAACAGCGCTGTTTGGTGCAGACGACGACAGACTGCTTCATGCCAAAAAACAAAGAAGTGAAATTTGCCTTTTGAAGGGGTGAATGCAACATAAAGAACACAAAATCCAAACCGAGTTGTATGAAGAGCGGATTGAGGATGGCTTTCATGAATATCGAAGATGCCTCGGACGACATGAGCAACAGTGCAAGCCACAACAAGTTTAGTGATCCCAATGCCACTGCCGCAAAATCCCGCAGAGAAAAAAAATAAATAAAAAAAAGAAACGCTAAGGCTGGGAACGCCTTAGCGGCAGGACGATGCCTCGCCGCTAAGGCGGCGAGGCATCGTCCTGTTCGTGGATTCGAAACCATCAATAAAGTTTTGTGGCTGGTTTTATTTTAGTTTTCTTGTTTTTTTTTTTTTTGTTTTACGGTTTTATAAGTGGCGACGGGTTAAAATTGCAGTAAACGGCCAGCCTCCACAGTGAGCTTGTTGGCTTTAAGCGGGCTTGTTCTTCGCGTGCGCCGAAAAGTCACCAGAGGCAGAATTTTCATGCTGGCGGCAAAGAATTTGCCACATTTTTAACCTGTAACCAATGGTACATACTGTAAACGACTTATTTTTCACGTGCTGAATATTTCGCGATTTAGGTCAAAGCTGAAGTGTTGGAATAATTCGCGGGTTGTAATTTTCACGACACGCTGGGGGTCTCAATATAGATTCCAATGTGTTTATATTACACTGGAATTGTCCGCGGGAATTATTTTTCGCGAATTGTATAGGCGATTTGTGAGATTCGCGAAAATAAGGTCCTCGCGAAATTTCAAACCCCTTACAGTATATGTTTCGAGCTCCCTATTCCGCGATGTCCGTAATTTGCTGTAACACGCGCCGTATCCTGAGCATTATGAACTATCTATACGCATAGATCGATGAACGGCGATGGTCCGTCCCCTATGCATTTTCTTCACAGGTGCACACCCACTCCATGTTCGCTGCATATACCGCTGTTCTGTTCATGATATCAAAAACTGTGTCACGGTCTGTGTGCCGTTTTCTTTTTTCATGATTGATGATGTCACCTAATGTTTCTGCAAGTGCTCACTTATCTGCCCAAGTCTGTATGGTACGCAGCTAGGAACTCGTCAAGCTACGCAGTGCAGACTTTTTTCTACCTGTTTCCTTCTCCGAACTCGAGTAAATAAAGACGAATGGACGAATTGATCGAAACGAAAACGGGAGCTGAATTGCGCATCCGGCTTTTATGCGTGCCCCACGGAGTTGTGCGTGTTACGCTCACTCGCGAGGCGAGAACGGTAGGGATGACGTTTCGGCGTCTAGTGCTTCTCGAGCACGCGTGCACAGCCAAAGGTATACGGACCGCGTTTTGGCTGCGTCGAAAAACACGTCCTGCCGTTCTCACTCTGTCGGCGACTACGGTATGCCTGGACTTCCATACCAAACGCCATGCCCCCTTCCAAAGTTCTATATAGGCCTTTTTTTTTTCTTACTCTCGTCCCCAGCCACCTGGTAGGCATTCCTGTATGGGCGACGAAAAAAATATAAAACATTTCAACGTCCCAATAGTAGAAAAATAAATCGAGACAAAATGAGAATGGATGACGGTTGCGCTTATGTCCGAAGTGTGTTATATTGGAGTGACGGCGGCCAAACTATCTTTTCACCCATACTGGAAGTGACGATATTTCAAGATGGCGGCGCCCTTGTGAAAAAGGTCAATAGGGCCAGGGGAACAAACACGTATACGCACTTTGCGGGAATTCACGCAAAAAGCGCATACGTGTTTGTGTGCGCACGTATAATTGATTTTTTTTTTTTTTTTTTTTTTGTGAACGGTGTGGAGTTTGTTTGTGCTTTTTGGGGTTTGAAGGACGCGTAGCGATTTCGCCCCAAATTTTCGGCTCAAAACCCGTTCTTCCCAACATTTTTTTTTTTTTTTTTTTGCAGAAAGTTTGGAGTGTTTATAATGAAGAGGAAGGGAAACCGTGGGAATAAAGACTCGCATCAACAATGTACGACGGTGTCAGTTGTGCTCACCTGAAAGGACAGCAAACTCAAGTTTTGTGTGTCCTGCTGTGCCTTGTTTTCCACTTGATCTTAGGAATTCTCATCATGAACAACTGTCCCACTAAACAAAAAGACCAAGGAAAAAAAAACGCGTTTTCTCCGCTTGTTCCTTGCCGCGTCTAGCAAATGAACCGTGGCGACATCCAAGGCACTGCACACACTCCTCAACTATAGAGCAAGCGGAGCGACCGCCTATAGACCTTTTCCACAAGGGCGCCGCCATCTTGGATTGTCGTCACTTCCAGTATGGGCGAAAACATTACTTTGCCGTCACCACACCAATAGAAGACATTTAAGATATAAGCCTAACCGTCAC